GTGGTGACCACAGTAATCCGCATATGACCTAAACTCTGTGACAGCACTTACGGAAGAGGACTTGCCCTTTCCTTCCTCTTTTCCTGATTTCTGCTGACTGGAATGCAGTTGTCATGGCAGGAGCTGGAGCAACCATAACGGGCTGCATTCTGGAGATGGCAGAGTGACAAAACTGGAGGAGTCTGAGTCCCTGAACAATTTCATGAAGGAACGCTATACTGCAAGTGAGAGCGGTGAATTGCGGGAGAAGTAAATTATTACATTTCAGTTTGGGTCAAAGGATTTCCCTATTTGGAAGCTGCCAGTATTATTCTGCCCGACACAGAGTGAAGGAGATCTTCATTTGTGTAGCACTGTGGGACCCTGGGCAAACTTCTTCGCCTTCCTAGGCTTTCATGTCATCTGTAAACTTGTTTCCCAGGGTTGTTTTACGAGACTGATGGGATAACAAGGAACGAAAGACCCAACACATCCGACACAGGGCTGGGGATGGGTAGAGGTTGAAACAGCCCAGCCTGACCCCGCCGCCCCAGGGCTTAGGATCACAAACGTGTCCCAGTGCCCTGCCTCACTCACCAGCCCTTGGGCCCACCCTCACTGCTCTCTGTGCCCGCGCTGGCCTCTCGGTCACCTTGTTCCCGCCACACTCATCAGCAGAGGGTCTCCTCCATGCCACACTGCGCTGGCCCTTCAGGTACACATGGAAACCTTTGCTCTTGGGGACTTTTCCATCAATCAATAAATAATAAGCGTAGATAATATTTATTGAGCACTCACTATGTGCCAGGTGCTGGTCCAAGCTGATTTCCACAAGTGTAATCTCTCAGCTCCCCTGTTAGGTACAAATTTTATCATCTCACATTTACAGATGTGGAAGCCAGCATGGAAAGACAAGCAACTTGCCTAAGCTCACACAGAGAGCAGGCAAGGAGCCGGTATTTGAACCCAGGCAGTATAACTGCACAGCCACTGTTCCATCTTGCCTTTGAGTGAATGTCAAGTTACACTGGTAAACAGCTTCCAGGGAAGGTATGTGGGGCTCAAACACGCCAGTCCCTCCTGCCCCTGGCCCTTGCCATGTGCTGCCCCTCTGCCTGAAACACTCTTCCTCCCATCTCTGTCCAAGCAGCTCCTGTTCACCCTTTGGGTTCTAACACTGGCCACATGTCACTTTTAAGGGACGCTGTCTCCGCTGTTCCAGGCCACTCGGATTCAGGGCTGCTCTGTGTATCTTTCCTCAGGTGGGCTTGTCACACTGCAACTGTTTCTTTGCTGATTCTTCATCAGTCTTCTCCCTCTGGAATTTAAGGGCCACAAGTGGGGCAAACAAACCGACCCTGCCCATAACGGGTGCTCAATAAAGGTCTGCTGGATTAGTTCATTGAGAGGTTGACTTAACCCAAGGTTGCCCCCGAGGCCTCCATGCATTCTGAAGCCCGGGGTCTGAGCCTTCCTCCATCTTTCCCTGGTGGTCTCTTACCCTCCTCAGAGATGCCTGCTCCCGACCCCCAGGCCAGCATGAGCCCCCCGAGGGAGGCAAGGTGCTGTCAGATAAGATCCCCAAAGGCAGGGCGTGGGACTGGGGGAGGCCCCTGGGCTCCCTGGACCTGGGAGTGGGAAGTTCCCCGCTGAGCTGGGAGCAGGGAATGGAGCAGAGGCTGAGAGGAGGGGCCCAGCTCCTGGACATCCTGTCTCGATGGCCAGAAATGACCTTTCAGGCCCCATAAAAGCTGGAGCCACGGAGGCGGCTATCCCACCATCGCCGAATGCTGTGGTCTGGAGCCGACAGCTACGAAGATCAATATCGTTGGGGCGGCTGTCTGCCATGTCTCCGCTCTGCTGCCAGGTCTCCCCAGAGCCCAGAGGCACCAGAAAAGAAAGGAGGCATGGATTTCTTAGGGATCTATGGGGCTACAGGCACCAGGGCTGCACACCAGGTGCTACAGGGCCTCATCTCCACAGTAGGAGCCATCCCAGTCTACAGGTGAGGACGGGGCCCAAGGAGGGAACACCTTCCCCCACCTGTGCCTGCCGCTGATGCCAGTTCCCTTGAGGGAAGTTTACACCAAGCTGCTGTTGTGACCCAACCCTGTCATCCCACCATGGTGGGAGGGTGAGGCAGGAGGATCATAAGTTCGAGCCAAGCCTGCACAATTTAGCGACTCAGCACGACCCCCTGTCCAGATATGTAGCTCAAAGGCTCTGGGTTCAATTCCTAGCACCACCAAAAAAAAAAAAAGAAAGAAAAAAACAGAAAAGAAAAGGTCATACTTCAAAGGGGCCCTTCTCGGGGTGCAGGGCCCAATCTGGGCCACTCTTCTAGTCTGTGCCCACAGCCAGGATGGAGCCACAGAAGGGGCTCCTGCACCTCTGGCCCCCCACTGCGGACACCTGGGAAGCACTGAACACTGGTGTCCCCTCCACTCTCTTAGCCAAGCTCCTGGGCTCCGCCCCTTCCACATCTTTCCATGCCCACACCCTGGGTTCTGCATGTCTGTGTTTCCACACACATCTGTGTGCATATGTGTCTAATACACCCATGTGTACGCATCTGTGTGCCTGGGTGTCTGTCTGTGCATCTTTCTGTGCACGTGCGTGTGAGGCTGTGCGTGCATCTCTGGGTGTATCAGTGTGTGTACATGGGTGTATTTGCATGTGTGAGCGTACACACTGGTGTTTTGTCTACATCTGACAGGTGTTGTTTAGAATGGACCAATGCCCCATGTTCTAGACTGCTTAGGAACTTTAAGTACTAATAAATAGTCTCACCAACTAACAAAGAAAACCCCAGAAAATCCAATCCTTTAAAGCAGAATCCGGTTCTCATGGCCACAAGGAGACATCCCAGAGCTCCTGCAGTTGGGATTTGCCAGTCAGGTCCTCCCACATGGCAGCTGCTGGCCCTGGAGTGTAGGTCCCTGAGGGACACCAGCTCCTCCTCTTCCTTCCACCCAAGGGATGCAGAAGGAGAGGCATCAGAGGCCTTCTCCAGGCCTGGAACTTGTTAAAATACCAGTGGTCTTCCCTATGAGGGGCAGACAGCATTTTCCCCGGAGGGGCTGGCAGTGGGGCCTGAACCAGACCAGAGGGACTTCTGCCACCCACCTCCCTACCACTCCATCCAGGGCATGCGTGGAAGGTCCTTCCCTTTGGTCCTCGGCCCTGGCTGCACAGTCACCAGGGCACGAGGAGACCATCCCAGTGCCCAGGCTGGATCTCAGGCTGATGCATTCAGTGTCTGCGCACCAGGGCCCACACTTCGGTGCTTTTCATCCTGTCCCTGGCTCCACCTCCTGGCCCTCCTGCCCTTCCCTCCGCTGCGCTGCACTCCGTGCATGCCCTGCACACCTGCTGCACCAGAGTTCTTGCCCACCCAGGCTAGGACTCACTTCCAGAGTTCCAAGAAACTCCCCAAAGTGCCCGGCAACCATTCCTCAGTCTCTGTCTCGTAGCTACAGAGAGCCTCAGAGGCAGTGGACTGAGTTCTGAGCCGGGCAGGACCCTCAGAGCCAGTGAACATTTGTTTCAGGTTCTTGCTGAGAACTCGAGGAGGAAAGAGCCCGCTCTGTGCTGAGGCTGCCACGCTGGTGCCACAAACACCGCAGCATCGGTGGCTTCATCTTGGACACGGCCTGCCCGAGAGTGCAGCCAACTCAGAACGAAGCACCAGGGGCAAATTTTTGACCCCACCATGTGAGCATCTGCATGCAGCAGTGCCGGCCTTCTCAGCCTCTTGGGCCCAGAAAAACCCCTCCTCCTTTTATTTTTTATTTTTCTGAAATGAATTTAAGTTTCTCTCACAGCTGAGAGCCCAGATAAATAACTCAGTGTGGCCAGGACCCAGACTTGGGTGGCGGGGAAGCCTTTAGGAGGATCTGGGGTGAGCTAACCATAGAGACATCACTGAAGCCCCAAACCTGGTGCCCGGCAGAGGCCCCCTTTGCAAGCCAGAGCCCCCGAAGAACCTGTCCAAACAACAAAGCTGGACAGCAATGTGGATTTCCTTTCAGTTTATCATTTATGAAGCCATACAATGGATCGCAAAGAAACCGAGCAGCTGTACAGGAGTGGGGGCAGCATCTGTGTACATCCACGGCGGGGAGAGAAGCAGAGGTCAGGGTTTGTACAAGGTGGCGGAGGTTATAGGCACAATGATACAAAATATAAAGTATATTTCCATCTATATAAATACAAAGCCCGCGAGGGGAGGATGCTGGGGTGTTCTGCTTTTTCTGAAAAGGGTCTGGGGGTACTGTGGGGGTGGTGATGGTGATGGTAGTGGAAGGAGTCTCTTGCATTTGCTTTGGTGACAAGTCAGGGAGAAGAGGACAGGTGGAAACGCAGCATGCACACCCAGACATGCTGTCACACATGCACCACAAACACAGACCGCAGGAGAGTGTCGTACTGTTTAACACTGATTAGGGGACACATGGGGGATGTCGCTCACTGCTAGGGAGGGCCCAGGTGCGGGAAACAGAGATCTCCCAGCCCTGCAGATATTTGAAGACAGGGGACAAGAAGGAATACACTGCCTGAGCCCATCCCGTGTGGCTGATCCTTACTGTCTTCAACACTGAGACCCTGCTGACTGTGGCCTTATAGGCCTCACCTCCTGATTCCTCTCATGGCTGGGTCATACTGAGCTTGATGCCCCAACCCCTAAGTTCCTAAACAGATGAGCAAAACATGCGCATACATACATCCACACTTGCACACACACACACATCCTGTTACCCCTGCACAAGGACACGTGAGTCTCAGAGCTCCAGGACCTGGACCTGGATGCAAAGGTGGCACTGAGACTGCTCTGAAGCTCTGCAAGGACCCCAAGTGTGGGGTAGCAATGGGCTGCTTCCCGTGGGTGGGACGCTACCTATTTGATCTCAAGACCTGAAGCTGGGAAACACCAAGAGGGGTAGAAGCCCCATGAGGCAAGATGGTGGACAAAACCCAGGGTGGGGTGCACGCTGGTCAGCCACAGAACCGTCTGCCTCCCCTGGACAGCATGAAGTCTGCTCTACCTCAGCCCAGACTTAGCAGAATGTGGCAGAAGGATCCCTGCTCCTTTCCCTCCCGGGATCCCCTTTAGAGGGACCACATATGCTGAAAAGGTCCCACTCTCCTGGCCACTCCCGAACACCCCCAAGGAATCCTCAAAAATCCAGGGCAGAAGGCAACCTGCAGTCAGTGTCCATAGCTTTCACAGTTCACATGTGATGGGTCCAAAGGCTCCCCTGATCCTAGAACATGACATGTGTCCCTCAGATAAGGGAACCAGGACTCCCTGGCAGCGGGAGGGGCAGTCACCCCTGAGGTTGCTCGTTTTCACCATTTCCTTCTGGGGTCTAGTTCTCAGGTCTAGCTGATCCCCTTTCCCCCATGAGAAGAGCCACAGGGACCTCACTGGGCCCACTCCTTGCTGAATCACAGATGTCGCTTCCCTGCTCTGTGCCTTCCCTCACCTCCAGACACTGAACAGACCAGCAGGGGCAGGGCCTCAGGCTGCTCCGGGGACCTGCAGTCTGGTTGCAGCATTGTGGGCTGGCCACGTGTCTCCTGCTCCTTCCTGCCACTCCTCCAGGCCTTCTCCCATCCCGGCTCATGTTCAAGACCAAACAACACTCTCCTTGCTGACAAACAGATTCAACAGTAAACAAGAGCAAAAGAGGTCAAGAGAAGGGGAAGGCAAACATTTACAACATAATAACAATGAGTAAAAGTGCTTTTTTAAAAAAAGGAAATCTTTGGCAAGAATAGACTGCGATGCAGAATGGCGTGTGTGTGTGTGTGTGTGTGTGTGCGCGCGTGCACGCACGCAGGCCCACTTGTGAAACACAGGATAGGGGAGGGAAGCAGCCTACAGTGTGCTCCCACAAGTGGGGTCACTGTGGAGACCTGGGTTCCTTCCCATCATCCTTTTAGAAAGGACACCCAGAGGCATGCTGGGAGCGAGTGATCAGCTGGCCAGTGCACACCTGGGTCCTTCCCGTGGCTCACCCTTGGCTCCAGGGCTCCAAATGGAGTTCAGGGGCTGGCCACACTCGAGAAGAGGGGGCAGGAAAAGTAGGGGTGCAGGCCGACCCCAGACTCAGTCCTGGGACCTGGTCAGGCTGCCAGAGGGTCTGATATTCAGCCAGACCTCAAATGTGGAGAGGATTCTCAGACCCAAAAAAGCCTCCCAGGATGTGCAGGGACATGGGGTATTTACAAAGTAAAGGGATGAGGCATATCTCTTATCTTGGAAGTGAACTAGGATTCACTAGGGAAGAAGGAGAGGGGGCTACTCAGGTATTTGGCGTGAAAATCTCAGAAGGGCACTTTGGAAGACCTTGTCACTAAAACCCAAGGTTTCACCCTTTGGGAAGTGGGGGGGCCAGTGGGGCCTATGTCCCCGTCCCCCACCTAACAGACACTCTCCTCTCCAGCTTGCTGAAACAGAAGGTCCGCAGGGATACAGTTCCCTGGAGGAGGAAAAAAACACAAGAGAAGCATACAGCTGCGGCCACACACTCCCGAGTCCTTGCACACTCACACACTCACCAGGCCCCTGGTGAAGGGGGGCTCCACACACACCCAGGGAGCTACCTACTGGGTCCTGGCTTGCCAGAATACAAGGGCACACGGGCACGGCGCATCCACACCCCATCCCACTGAGCCCAACGTAGCCTAGGGAAGGCCAAGGCCAAAGCAAGGAGACCCCGGGCTCCTCCAGGGAAGGCTCCTACTTGCACATTAAGAAGGGCACAGGAACTGGTTTATGCCCAGGGAGGCCATAAAGCAATGTGGGAAAATAATAAATACTTCTTGTCAATTTACCTATTCTTTTTTTAACCTTTTCTTATATTTTATTAGCTTACAGATTCTGTCAGTATGTCTCACGTATATATTATATATATTTATATATCAGTACAATGCCTCTTTCTAGGGGACCTCTGTAGGCTTAAGCATGGAGTCCTGATGAATTTTCCTTCTGGCTTAGAGTTCCTGGGAGGTGGACAGGGGATTTCCCAACTGTCCAAGTGGACCCTAGGTCCTTTGGACTAAATGTACACTCTCTCTACTCCCTGGGCAGCATGGCTCTTAGAGGAAACCAAGGCAGAAGGGGAGAAAGCCAGACTTTGGCATTGTGGGTAGGCCATGTGGGGCTCCAGTAGCAGTCCTAGGAGCTCTCTGGTATTGTCTTTGGTAGCCCAGCCAGAAGGGTACCTGCAATGGTCAGAGCCCAAAATATTTACAGAGGGGAGATGGGTGACAGGCTTCTCCCTAGAGCCTTGGTGAGCAGGGCTTGAGGAAGCAGGCTCCTCAGGATGAGCCCCAACATGAGGACGCTACAGGAATGAGCAGGGCAGGGAGGATCTGGAAGGCTCCATCTCTCGCCTCCCAGAGGGCATCATGCAGATAAGTAAATCTGAGATAAGGCTGGTGCTAAGGCTCCCAGCCCAGGAACTGCAGACAGCTAGGAGCAAGGCAAAGTCGGGAGCCCTGGCTGGACAGCTTGCCCAGTTCATACACTGCAGGGGGAGAAGCCAGAGCCAAGCAGCCACCTTTCCTGATGGGTCCTTGCCCACACTGCAGACACCAGCGTCTCTGCTTCCTCAAACTTATCGCCCTGGCCTCCCCACAGAGAAAGAACAGGACCGGGAATGCTGCATGGAGGCCACCCCTCCTGCCAGGGTCTCTGCACAGGAGGATGGGCTTTTGGCACCCAAAGCCTCCAGAGGGCAGGTGTGGGGACCGGGAAAAAGATTCTCTATGACTCGTGGTCCTAGGTACTCCTGCAGGAGAGGGCTTCTGTCCCCTCCCTGACACCCTGTCATCCACCAACCTAACCATTGGATCTTAAGGACATGTGCTGCCAGCACATGTGACACAGACAAGTAGAGCTGTTTACGATTCTAGCAGAAAGAGGCAGATACAAATCAGTGTGTGAGGATGTGGAGGGGGTGTCTATGCACCCACACAATCCTACATCAGAGGCACAGCTCAGACCTGAGGTGCCTTTGGGTCTGAGGCACTTGCAGAAGGTAAAGTTCCATCACTCCCTGTCCACCACTGGCTGTTTGGCTTAGGGACCTACCTACAGGTGGCCAAAAACAGATTCTCTCAGCTTGATTTTTCCTTACAAAGCAGGGTGGTTAGGGAGGCAGATCTTCTCTCCCTCTGGCCTAAAATATGGGTCCCAGGAGGCCTGCTGGTGCCCTTTGAGGAGCTCTGTCCTCTCAGAGCAGGTGGGGGAGCAGGAGGACCTGGCTAGTTTGGGAGGCTTTGGGATTTTGCAGTTTCCGTCTACCCAGGGGTATCTGAGTTCTCCTCCAGCTTTCTCTTTCTCCCTCTCCCCCACCCCTCCACAATGCACTTCCCTCTCCCCACGATGCACTTTCTTCTCTCCTCCAAAATTGGCCCAAAGTCCTCCTTCTGGATTCAAGATGGTCAGGATTCATGGGTCCCCTCCCCACATTCCCCATCCCCACCGCCCTGGCCTGGGCAAGGGGTCTGGGCGTTCATCTCTTCTGGCCGGCACTCAGCATGACCTTGGAGACGAAGTTGACGATGGCAGAGGCAGGCTGTTTGGGGTCAAGCTCAGCAAAGAGGTGGCAGGCGTTGTCCGTGGTGCTGCCCTGCTTCCGGGCGACAAAGCCAAAGAGCCTGTGGGGGCAGGAAAGGGTGTCTGGCTTGAAGGGGGGCAGGAGAACAGCCCAGGCAGACCAGCAAGCTTGACTCAGGCCAACCCGCCCCCAAGCCCTGCAGCTCCCCAAGCATCAGGGGGAGCCCTCTCCACCACACTGCAGCAAAGCCCAGTCCTGAAGACAGTGTCACTCTGTTTCAGGGCAGCAAAAGTTCCCCTCTGGGAGGTGGGAGCGGGAGCTGGGGGTGAATGAGGAGACTTGAGGGTAGGGTGGGGATGAGACCAGAAATAAACCAGGAACATTCCCAGACGAGTGAGTGCCTTGGTCCTTCCCAGCCCCGCCCACCCTGGCTGGTCCTGCACCCGGCACTGCGAAGGAACAGCACTGCCTGAGGCCTGCCAGGCAGAGGCGCCACCACCCCTCAAAGACACCACGGTTCTCAGATCTGTGAGGCAGGACAGGCAGGGGCCCTGCCTTACACACACACACACACACACACACACACACACACTCCTCCTGGGCTCACGGAGAATGGCAGGGGGGACCCCACACCTGTGCCCTCACCCCTGCCACATCAAGTCAGGAGTGACCTAAAGCTCTCTCTTTGCAAAACAGAGTTAAAAATATGAGGGCAGAGAACAGAATGTGAGCACAGGCCCCTCCCAGCTGGCATGTTGCTAATTAGAGCGAGATGGGGAAATCAGGACAGCTGGAGATTCCGATGGAAACCCCTCTGCCTGCGAAGGCAGCCATGGCTAAGATTAGCAAGGCTGGGTTCTGCTGCCAGCATGTGCGTGTGCGTGTGCATGTGTGTAAACACACAGAGGTACACACAGCATGCTCACATACCACTTCCCCACATACATACATGTGTGCACAGCACAAACATCTCCACACTTACTTGCACACATCACATACACACTAGGGACATGTGCATACACACTTTCACACACCACACCCCTGCGCGCACACACAACACTCAGCTGCACACATCACACACAGCAGCCGCATACACATATCACACACAAATGCACCACACACATCACACACAGACACACAGCCCTGTACTTCCTACAGTTGTGCTCTCTCTGCCAGCTTTGTCTCAGGGCTGGGAATGACGGGGTAACTCGAGGGTGGTGGGGAAGTAGGGTCCTTGGTGCAGCCCCCAGCACCTCCTTTCCAGGCTGGCTGGGGCTCTGGTGCTTGGGGAAGTCCAGGCAGGGAAGGGGCATCTCCAATCTCCCTGCTGGAGGGAGACCTGGCCAGCTCACGCCCACTCTAACGCTGCCCCCTGCCCTGTCTGCAAGCTGAAGCCTGCCTAGCTGGAAGGGACTTGAGAAGGAAGCTGCAGGGACTCAAATCTCCTGAGGCTACTGATGCTTAAAGAAGGATGAGACCCCCTTCCTCCCAAGCATCCTTTCTGGAGCCCCCACTATTGACCAGGCCCAGATCACTGCCAGGCCCATCCGTTCTCCCCCAAGGTGGCCTCACTCTGCCCTGACTCCATTTGCTCTCTTTTTTTTTCTGTTGGATTTTTTTGAAACAGCATTTCACTAGGCAGCCCAGGTTGCTCTCAAACTCACAGCAATCCTCCCGTCTCAGCCTCCCTAGTGCTAGGATTACAGACATGCTTATCTGTTTTTTTATTTCTTCATTTAAAAACTACTCATTAGCTGCCCCCACCCTGGGCCAGACCCACCCTATTTTGTGGGCCTTGCAGCCTGGTCATGCCACCCCCCTCCCTAAAACAGTCTCTCTTTTAAGACCATTTAAAAATATTTGCCCCCCTCGCCAGATTTCTCTGTGCCTAGACCCATTCCTCCCTGTTAACACCACAGATGTGGGCTATACTCTCTTTCTCCAAAACTCAGTCCTTGCTGCCTGCCCTTTCTCAGCCCCTGTCCCTAGCTCCAGTCAACTGGGTGGCGGGAGAAGCTGCACTTACTTCGCAGGGGCACCTCCCTCTGTCTTCATCCACCTGTGGAGAAAAAGACGGTCAGAGTAGACCCCGGCATCTCTCCCCAGAGCCCTCCTTGACCAGCCCAGACCTTTGGGGAAGGCAGAGGAGCCCCACTTCTGAGAGACAGAAGATAGTGCTTTCCCAGGTGTGGAGAAGGAAACAGATTCAGGATCAGGCACACAGCAGAGGGGTGGAAGTGGGTGTCCAGGTGGGACGGCTCAGGAGAATGCCCGGCACAATCACTCACATTCCCCAGACACACGAGGATCCTCACACTGAACCAAGCACACACACGCATGCACACATACACACAAATGCACGTGTCAGTGAGAAGGAGCTGTGGGAGGGCGGAGGGGGCTAAAGAGACTTACTTTCTTTCCTGTGGATCCAGGTCACAGAAGGTGACAGTGCTGAGGGGATAGTGTCGCCTGAAGAAGAGCCTACGGCACAAACAGAGGCATGAGTGCCAGAGTAACTGTGCTTTCCTACCTCCTCCCTGAAGGCCGGGCCACCCTTCCACCATCTGTGCCTGCAGTCGGTCCACACAGACTCACTCTTGGTTATGAGAAAAATGGCCTAAGCCACTCACCCTGGGGACCCAAACAACGCACAGAGCCAGACAGATGTGCCCCCAGAAACGTGTCTGAGTCGCTGGGAAAGAAACCGAGGCTGGGGAATGAGAAGTGAAGGAAAAAGCAACTGGGTTGGGGACATGGTTAGGATAGAGGGGCCAAGAGGAAGGGCTCTGCTCCTAGGAGGCAGTGACTTTTTCATCAGTTTTATCTACGGCTGAACACCCAGTGCAGGCAAACATTTGGAGAGGGATGGGTGGATGAAAGGATAAATGGGTGAATCCCAGTGATGAATAGAACTATACTGTATACCTAAAATGTACCGATAAACTCGATGAGCAAAAAAAAGAAGGATAAATGGATGAAGAGAACAGCAGGGGATGAATGGATGCCAGTGAATGGATGGGTCAGTTGGTGAGTGGGTGAGAGAATGGATGGATGGATGGATGGATGGATGGATGGATGGACGGACGAAGGATGGATGAGTTAGTTAGCAGCAGAATGGATGCAAGACACATGGTACAGGGGACAACAGATGAGTACCGGAATCCATCGATAAGTGCGTGGTGAGTGGGTGGACAGCAGGGTTGCAGGAAGGAGGGCCCGACACAGAAGCAGAGGGAAAAGGCTCACTTTCTCTGGTTGTCGGTCAGCGTGATTCCCTGGGCGGAGACTTTGAAATGAACAATGGTGGCAGCCGGCGTGGGGTCAGCGGCCAATGTCTCCGAGATGGCTTTCGAGATGGCCTGCGGTCCAGTGAGTGACTCCATATCCACAGAGTTGACGAAGAGCACATTACAGGCTGGAGAAAACCAAACCAAAGAGAAACTATGTGGGCTGGAGTGGGTCGGGTGCACTACCCCACATTCTCTCTTCAGGGAAAAGGTAGCAGATGACTTTCAGGCCAGCCTTGGGCCAAAGCATCTGCACACAGAAATGTGATCTGCCTAGAGACATTTGGCCTGGGAGAGACTTCCAGCCTGCTGCAGCAGGAAAGGCAGGGGCATGAAGGCAGAAGGAAAGACCGGGGCAAGGATCCAGTCTCAGGTGACCGCTCACCTGCTCCTTGCTTCAGCAGGTCAGTGGTAGAATTGGCAGGGCCCGAGTTATCTTTCGATTCATCTGTGGGATCTGAGACAAAAATTCAGCTGGTTATTAAATCCCCAGAGCTGGAAAGAAGCATGTATTTACCTGGGCCTAGAGGGAGCACTGCAATATTTTGTGCACTGAGTACTTCTTTTCCTAGCAGGACCTGGCAGTCGGCACTGGGTTACATACTGTCTGAATGTTCAACGGCCACTGCAAGGGCTCAGCACACTATGCAGAGCCCTGGAATCCAGCAGAGCTGGGCTCAAACCTCACCCCCAGCATCTGCTAAGTGTCTATAAAATAAGGATGACAAGGCCAGTGCCCACATCACTGGGTTTCTGAGACCATTCCATTTACAGTTTTAAGCCCAGTGCTTGGAAAGAAGAAGGCTTCAAGCTCAGCAGCTGGAGTTGCTGTTGCAGTTTTGCGTTGCTGTGTCTTTGTGTAGATCAACACATGCCCTCATTCATTAAACCACCAAGGCAGCACAAGAATCACTTCCGGGTTAACAAGCATTGAGGGACAGATGGGTTAAGTAGCTCAATTTTATCATTTCACAATGTGTACGTGTCAAAACACATTATACACTGTACGTAGTATAATTTTTAAGTTCACCTATACTTTAATGAAAATGTTTTTGAAAAGAAAAATCAGAAAAAAAAATAAGAATAAGAAACAACTCTTAACTATACCAGTGTCTCTTACACTTGGGTGTGAAGATTTGTTACGACAGATTGCTGGACCCAATCCAGAGTTTCTGGTGAGGAGTTGGAGAATATTTTTCTCAGCAACACTGATGGCCATGAACCAGGGACCACACTTTGAGAAGTGCTGGTTTATACAACTTACATGTAAAAGTTTTGTAACTGCTGAACTACTGCAGTACATTCTATTAAAATACAATTTAATTAATGTCAAAATTGTGTGGTTAATAATGCTATTTCAGATGTATTTGACCTTTAAGCTAATAATGTTGGTCAATTATTATTAATAATTCAATGATCTGGATAAATAGTGATTGTCAATTAACATCAGAGGCTTTGTTTCAACCTCAAGAATATCTCCTACTTCTCGGGCCTCCCTCAGGATGAGGCTTTTTTTTTTTTTTTTTTTTTTTTTTTTTTT